TATATTTCATTAATATTTTTTTTTACTGCAAAACAAGTTATCAAATACAAACAAATATGTATTTCATGTTTTGACTAATAAATGTGCAACGTTTAATCTTGATTTTAATCCAAAAACAGTTGTAGTCAATTTCGAACAATTTATACATTTTACTACTAAACAAGTATAGCATTCAATACTTCTAGTAGAATGTAGATTTAATTTCATAAGCTTGGCGAAAGAATATTCAAAGTTATGGATTACAAACAGAGTATAAAAACACTAATTCTAAAATAAGAAGATGACTGCATTTAATTTTTGATTTGTCACTTTTTCCACATGAAGAATTGAAGGATGAGTTTGTAGAAGAAATAATTACAATTCAACCCATTATTTTAAATCTTACAAAATTTACTGATTATATCATTGAAAATTACATTTTATCTAATTCTACATTCTCTCCAATTCTTTGGGCGTCTAAACTTATAGAAATAAGTTCTGAACTTTTGAACGTACAACTAATGCGTGTGAGCTTTTCACGCTTCATTTTCTTCAAATTTTTATTCTTCCTATCCAAATATTCTTGTCTTTATTACAGGAATCATCAAAACACAGAATAACACTTAAATCGCAATAAATAATATAGAACAAGATAAATATATAGAGATTTCAAGTAGAGCATATTTAACAAAAAATTGACAATCAATTCTATTATTAAGAAATACTAATCTGGTGAAATTACCAAAAAAGATTTTTTTAAGTCAGCGTGTTATTATTATTGTAAAAAGTTTACAATGAATTATAACGTAATTTATATAACTTTAACTTTTAATAGTTGACTATTAAAAATGTGAAAAAAAAAATATTTATTTATATTAAATTATGCATTAATACTCGCAAAAAATTGATTAGTGCATTGATTTATTATATAATTAAAATGTTTTTCTTAGGTATTGTAAAATTTTTTGAGCGCAATTGCTCAATATCGACCTAAAATATATAGAATGCAATTGGTCTATCAACTCTAAAATATTTAGAGTATAACTGGTGTATAAAAAAGTAATTTTAAGCGCATTCGGTAAATTTCTAGTTAACTAACGTCCAATTTAGTTATTCACGCTTAAAGTAGTTAGTTTTTCTTACTCATAAAATTGAAATGAAAAGCAATACATTTTTAACCACTCCCTTCACACATAAGTAAGTTGTAAGTTTCAAGTCTGAATGGAGTGGAAGTTTGTTTTTTGTTATTTAATATGATGCAGTCGAATCTCTATAACCCAAATCTTAAGGATAATAAAAATAAATGTGTATTATGTATTTTTAAATTTATATACATTAAGATACAACTAACTAACACCTCAAAACGTGAAAAAAAATATTCCTGCTATCGAGGCTAAAGTTATTGCGATTTGACTGTAATATTATGAATTATAATTTATGATATTTACATTGATAACTTTAAATTATACTTTTAAGTTTAAGCCTGTAATCGTATAAATCAATATATATTTGATATGGTTTAATATAACCACATCCATGATTTTATGTGAGGATTAATTTTAAAGAATGTTGTATCATCTTAAGATCATAGTTGGAAAAAAATCAAGTAAGTGGCTGGATCCATAGAGCCCCAAGCTACTGAAGTATTGCCTTCCATATTTAGAGAACCTATGCACACTTATGATACATATTAATTATTCTGAAAATTATTGTTGATGGTTACTAATAAAATGTCTATGTTTAGTACCTATACATATACTTCTCTTATGAGCATAATTTATTATTATATTATTATATTATAATCAAAAAGTGTCATTGCTTATTTTCTAAAATTAATTATTAATAGGTACTGATTTAATTGTTAATTTTATAATATGAAAGTGTTAATGGTAGCAGTTAATATTTTTAAAATATACTAAAAAAATAATAATGTAATATAATTTTTTAAATTAATATCCCTTGTCATAATACACCAAGGTTCGTGGTCTCTATAAAACGTATCCGATTCACCGATTATTAATTTTATGACATGCCAACTTTTACTAAAAATATAAATGGCTTGATCCACATCCCTTGAGGATAATATTGTATTCGATTCGTGTAATTTATAATAATAAATATTCGTCACTAAAAATATTAACGAAGAACGTCTGTCATAATAATTTCGATTGCATTTTCTATCAATAAATATTTTATTTTATAGACGCAATTATCTACATTCAAGAATCGCATTTGTATAGAACAAAACACAAGATTCTTCAATGAATACGTGGAATACGTATTATTAACAAATTATATACTGTTATACTCGAAAGATAATTATTGCTATTTTGTTTCTTAACATTGTTTTATTTAAACGATTCAATCATAACTAAACGAATCCACGAGAGCCTTGTCCTTCTCCGCATCTGTCACATTATCTTTTCATTACCTATAATATTTGATTTTATTTTTATAAAACTTTATACTAAGTTAACGAAACTGGCTGAATTGGACAAGAGCAATAAAATATTTAGGGGAACTAGAAAATAACATTTTTTAAACTAGGTACTAGGTATTTACTTTAAAATATGGTTTAGTTCGTATAAATAAATTAAAAATTGTTAATCTAAACCATACATGTAATCAAGTCTCAAAAGTCCAATTAAAATTTTTTTCGCATTAAGATTTAAAAAAAAAATCCATTTATTAAGTCTAGTACAGTTCAAAATGTTATCGATTTAGTGTAATTAGATCTTGAGTCTCTGACTATTGAAATATTTTTGTATTAATTGTGTTATTTGAAACTTGGTCTTTATTGATTTGCACATTCAATGCAAAGTTTTTAATGTCTTTTGCATCAACATTGTATGATGTATTATTATGTCCAGAATGAGATAGTTTTGTTAGGATCAGCAAAATATGTATTTACGAGTACTATAAGTCCAGATTGCTATATATATATTATGAAAATATTTTATTTTTAAGTCAACTTTTATGTTTTAAATTTATAATATTATTGTAATTTTTGAATATATTACTGCATAACGCACATAATTATCGCTGTTACACACTTATATACATAAATTATACATAAAATGTTTCTTAAAGTTTATGAATACAGTAGAACCTCGATTATCCGTGACTCGATTATCCGTGTTTGCGATTAACCGTGCCCATTCTTCCGAACATTTTTAAACATATTACTCGATATCGACAATCGTATTAATGACATTTTTGACGATAACTTCATATTTTAAGCCCTAATAACTTGTTGTAGGTATACAATATTATGGATGTAGGACGTATGTATAACATTATTGTATGTATACGTCTTCTTATGTATATTTCTAATTACAATTGAATCAAAATTTTTAAAATTTCATTATTATAAAAAGTCTCGATTAACCGTGATTTTCATTTATCCGTGTGACCCTCTCCCCATCATTACCCCGGATAATCGAGGTTCTACTGTACTTGAATTTATTTAATGATTATTGTTGTATTAAGTTTAGTGTTTCGTACGAAAATGTATTGATCATCATAATTGCACGATACACGTAGGTACCTATATTTTAATTTTTTATGCTAATCTATAATACCCAAAATCCGTCGATTATATTGCATATGTAAGTTAAATAAATTATTATTATTATGTTAAATTTTTTACATTACATATTTTTTTCCTACGCTTTTTAACAAAAAAAAAGTATTGATGTGTATACCTACTTATAATACTAAAACAAAATTACACCACACTATTTGATGATAACTGTACAATATTCTCTGAATTTAAGTACATCTAGATAGGAAACATAGACTAAGTTTTGAATACTCATCTCTCTTTGTTCATATTAGACTGCATTATCATGTGACACCTTTAATATCATATTCGGAAGTAATATTATCAAAGATTTAGTGTAACTTAACATATTATAATGTTAATTTTGTTTTTTCGAGTATCTATTGGTTGTTAAAACAATCTTTATAACGAATAGAAAAAACTAATTAAAAATAAATTATAATATAATTTAAATAAAAATAACTCATTCAAATACTATCATATTGAAGTTAAAATTTTATAGGTTCAATTTTTTATCTATAAAGGTATTTTAAGTTCTAGTATGTATTACGGCTTTACAATACATAATATAAATAACCAGTTACTTATAAATAATACAGGAAAATTGGTGTAAAAGATATTATGAGAAGTCTTGTCTTAGGTTTAAACATACACACACACATAGGCAGATATACAAAAATTATGCCCATATAATTTTATAGTTATTTAAAGGTTTAAATTTATTATTGATTATAGATAAGTACGCATACAACAATAGTTATTATAAAATATTAAATAATGTTATAACTCGTCCGTTGTTCGTCGGTTGCAGTAATGAAAACCTATAACTATGATGATATTATTATTGTTATGGCCGTGTGTTACGATGAATTTTACCATGCAAAAATCTTCAAATGTACATAGTGATTGAAAATCAAATCGTTAATACATAGCTCAAAGGCGGATCCAGAGGAGAGCAGGAGGTAAGTGCCAATCCCGTTGGAAAAAAATAATATTAAAAATGTTTGTATTAGTGGGGGCTATATGTATATCATATAATTTTTCCTTTAAAGTGCCCCGACCGTAAATACATGCTGAATCCGCCCTTGACATAGCTTGGTATGGTAATGAGCTTATTATGAATGTATAAACGTATATAGTATTATGTGCGTAAAAACCACTTGATCACGTCCGGGAACTAGAAAATTCGTCGTCGTCACAGCCATCAAAAACCCTTGCGAAATGACCTTTATCATATGATTCGTTAATAAGATTAACATAGAGGTGAATCCGTCGTCATCGGGTTATAACTGTAACATATAATTAGTTTCTATGGATCAGTCTCCTTAGTGACGATATCTAGTAACATTATAATAAACACTATAGGTAAACATCACAATGTCTTATAAAACAATTGTATTTCGTAATGTATATATATATACATATATACGTATATATAATTTTAGAACAAAAAACCAAGATGAAATTTTTTAACTATAATTTTTTATTTGTTTCGTCTTTTACGTTGGAATTTGGAGTGGCAGTCTTAACAGCAGTGTTTACGGTAGGTGATTTTTAATTTTTTTTAATTTACAAAGAATTGTATTTCATATTCTTTTTATAAATATAAGTATATACCCCATTAAACAATTTCTATTTGTAAGCTGTGTGTTAGTAGGTATTAATATTTAATACCAACATAATATTGAATAATTCCATTATTATTGCTTATTATAATAATATGTAGGTACACTCATTATAATATTTATCTTTCAACGAGTTAAGTAAATTATATAAATTATTATTATTACTCGTATATTTTTACATTAAATTTAAATAAAGTTATTTTTGGACTTTTTAGACCAGCCATCAACTTTTAGCTGAAAAAATTGATTATACATTGGTAAAATAAGTTAATTTAATTTAACTTCTCGTGGTCTTCTATTATACATTTTTTATGGTATCCCATATACGAGTTAAATTGTTAACAATGATTGATGACAATTTTATAAGTATTAAGTACATAATACAAATAAATTATTTTTACCAAGTTTAAATCGTTTAATCACTTAAAATAAATAAATTATCTATTCTAGATTTTAACATTGGCCGTAGTTGTGGTGAATGTGTCCGAGTTATCGAGTATGTAAGATTCATATATTTCTTTAATTACGCCATTATTATTACTGTTATATGTGGTACTAATAATGCACAGATAAAAATAATAAACTAGATTGCTAACATATGATAATAGTTGAAGTCAAAAATCTTGTCACAAAATAATCTAAATAATATGACCATTCTGCGCAATTATCTATTATAAAAAGTTAAAACAATAAATGAAAGAAGATACAATATATATATAATATATATGTATTAATATTGGCACACACGTTTGGTATTGATAATACGTACTCTAATTCCCACAAACATTCCGTAAAATTACAACTTTATTCATTTCAAAGTAAGCATACGGCAGTAAGCAATCTAGTTTATACTATCTATCCCTGAGACTAATAGTAAATTAGTTTTTACCTCGTTTAGAGAATCTAATTGTTTTGGGATCTATATTCGGACTGCTACTTACTTGGGGAATAGCGTTTGCTGGAGCTTTATTGGTAAGTTAAAATATTGTTGTATTATTAATAAGACGTGTTATCTATAGTAGGCTAATAACTAAACTTGCAAATTAAAAATAATTTAAATTATTTACACAAAATATAATAAACAGATAAATGTATCATTGTTTTAATTAGTGCTTACAAGTTTTCGTTTAATATTTTTAAAAACACTTCCAACAAAAAATATAGGCATTTAATTATTAAAACGTTGAATAAATTTTAGTATAGGTCATATTAAAATAATACCGAAAAGTATTATACTCATTGGTATAGGTAAATATTGTAATAACTACCTAGGTACCATCATATTTTGTTCATAATTAATTTGTACTAAATTTAATCATAGAGATCAAGAAAATTGATAGCATTGTCAATTGTTATTTGGACCATTTTCATTATTGAATGGCTAGTTTTATCGTTATACTTTAAAGTACTCATGCATGATATGTAAGATATTATACACAGCAATCATCGTCATAACATTAATAACTGTTAAAATATTATATAGCAAATACTGTGTAGCACCGAAAACGAGTTGTGCAACATCCATGTGGCTTATTGACAGTGGAGAAGCTTGTTCAGATAGTTCAGTTAGTTCAGATGTAATGTACCGATTAATTTATTTAATAATATTATATTACTAGAATATATTTTAGAATTTTTAGAGATTAAGGACATAATGGTCTCGGTAGTTATCAACATTTGAATGTTAACATTTTACTATACATTTTAAATTGTAATTATATAACTTTAGGCTAATATTATACCTATCGTTATTTAAGTTTTACAAAACTTATGAAAAAAAAAAATTAGCTAAGTAAAAATAATATATAAACACTGCACCAATAAAATAGTATCCATGACAAGATATAATAAAGATATACCTTCATCTTTCATTTAAATGACGAAACATAAAACTTGTATCGTACTTTTATTAATTTAATAATACTCGTTATAAGTCTTACATATTAAATTTATTTTATAAAGTATAGTAGAAGTTTCAAAAAAGTATATTTATTTTCTTATGTATTAAAAATATTCTATATTTTGCAAATAGTATTTTTGACGATTTTATTAGTATTAAACACACATTTTACATACGACCATTTTAGGTGGTAAGTACTTAAGTACTCATAAAAAAATTTTCACAAAACATAGTTTTTGAATTCATTCAAATTTAAATAATTTTATATGTAGTTGATATAGCAAGTAGATGCGTGAATGATACATAGTATAAGTAAACATAAAATAATATTGTGTGTAATATCACTTGAAAATGTTAACGAATTTTAAGGAGGATGACAAGAAAAACGAAACAGACAGTGATACAGAATTAGACTCAGATTCAGATTCCAGTAGAAGACTATGGTCGATAAATGACTCTCCCGAAGTAACTGTTAAAATTTTTCACCCGGTGAGGACGAATACAGTCCCAGACACTGTCGCTACTACTCCAGCTGCTGCTGATACCGTGATTTCAAATCAAACGAGTATGATTTCCAATGTCAGCAGTGGGTGTGGGTGTGAACGTCACTCGCAGACTACGACTGAAAGCCCACCGAGCGATTTGATTACGCGCGTCATAGAGTACCGAAAAAAATATGACGATGTATCGTCAACCTTCGGAGGCGGCGATTCGACAGCGAAAGAATAAAGATGAGAAAAAATATAAGGCATCATATGAGGAATATGATGGAGATTACACAAGTAAAGAACGCCATAAAAAAAAAGGTCATAGTCGTAAAATCAATAGCGACGGCGATGACAACGACGATGATGACGATGACGACGATGATGACGACGATGGCGACAAAGACAAAGACAAAAGCAAGGACGACGAAACGATAGAAAAAGGTGTAAACAAACCTGGCAACACCGCTGAAAATAATTTAATAGACTTGTTGGTTATGGCATGTTTTTTACGTAAGATTTCATTGTTTTTATTTTCTGCGCGTGCGAATTATCCAGACATCATACTGCAACAACTATAACAATCACACTTGCACGATGTACATATAAGGCCACATGGGTGGTGCACAAAAAGAGCGATTTACGGTGATTTTCTGTTTTTCTGTGTTACTAAACTGATTTAACAGAAAAAACCTTGTCTAACCAACCTATGCTATGTTATTATAAAATAATTCATAATAACTAAATGATTCAGTCAATAACATAATTTACATTTTTTCAAAATAATATCTATAGTAAAAACTAAATATTTGATTATACACAGTTGATGGTCGTTTCATAAAAAAAAAATTACACGATTAAGCATTTTAGTATTTGTCTTATGAAAAAGAATATCCATTTAATGGATTTTTTTAATTTTTCACTAAGTGGAAAAAAATAATTTCTATTTCATGAATTGTATACTTTTCATAAAATACACAATTTTATCAAGTATACATAACATGAATACATTAGAATCCACTATTGATAATTCGAAGTAAATTTTCAGTCACTTGAAAATCTCGAGATATTTTCGAATAAGAATAATACAATTTTTGGTATACACTCAGTAATTTTAAATCATATTTTGAACAACCCAGCCACGGTTAACAATGTGAACTTCTTACTTAGCTCTCGGCTTTTCTCTGCTTTAGACTAAATTAAATATAGCTTAAAAAAATTACTTATTTAAAAATAGTAAAATATTAATTGCACTCAGTGTTATATCATTAAATTGTCATATTGTTTTTAATTAAATCTATTTTTATACATATCGTTTAATTTATAAACACAAGTACGTACCTATATATTTAATTTAATAGTACATTTTTATTTATTATTATTATTATTACATACCATATACATATTTTTAACACAAATGTTTATATTGCATTTTTCATAACTCTCGGTGATTCAGAGTATTTTGCTTATTCTTTCAATACTTAAAATCTATTACAAAATTGAATACTCAGTAACTTGACGTTTTTTATAAATCCCTATAACTTCGAATTATTGAGAGTTGACTGCAGTTTCAATCATAATTCACCAGTATTTGATATAAGGTCCACCGTATATGATTATTGAATGGAGATGCGAAGTCAGAGTTAGTATCGTCGTGTAATCCATTGCCATAACTCATAAAAGCGTATAACTAATTTAAAATTTAAAGGAATCCACGCTTTTGTGACCGCAATTTTTCATTGAAATTTCAGTCTTACATATATACTTTTTTTTTTTTTGCAGTGTTGTACGTGTATGCGTTGTATGTACTATTATCCTACCACAATGAACTGAAATTAATGAAGAATTGTAAATGTACATTTCTTACATAATATGAAATTTTACTACCTAAAAGCAGCCATTAAACAATGTTACATTACACACTGCATGGTATGTAAATATAGAAGGTGACTTCAATAATAGAAGGCTAGAATATTAAATTTGAAAATAATTTTATATTAGTGACCGTATTTAAATTTTAAAAAATATAAACTTTAAACAATAATTAATAATTTATTTATTTTTTAATAACTAACAATGGTTAAAACTTAAAAGTAAATAAAATTAAAACAAAACATAAACGTCCGTTGATGATACTTCGGGGTTTGGAAGGAGGTAGATTATTTGTTAGTTTATGTGCAGTAGGTTTCTACACCATTTACACTTGAGCCGTTTGGAAGGATTCCCGTGGATGGCCAAAGAAAATATATCGTGCATGATTGGGTTCTGTACTTTAAAAGGCGATTATGAAATCTTTTGTAGTGTATTTTAGTCACATTTACAACAAAGGTTTGGAAAGATCGTGATGGAGTATGTGATTATAAATATACTATAGTGCTTTAATGATTTGTCTAGGAACTTTGGATTGATAGATTTGTATTCTATTGATGTTAGTAGGTGTTGCTGATTTCCGGACCTGTAAACCTTAGATCTATATTTGTTTAAGTAGCACTTTATGTATAAGGAGTTTTTTATTTAGATGGATATATTTAAAGGTCAGTAAGTGTCGTAGTTGGCGGCTGCGATTGTTGAGGGTTAGACGATTAGAGAGCATATAAAGAACCCAGATGAGCCAACGATCTAGGGTTAGTTCAAGATACTTGACATTATTATTTATTAGAGTAGAGTAGAGGTTAATTATTGAGATATAGTTGTGGACAGTCTTTGGGACGTGGTGTGAAGGTATGTGGAGTGATTTTATTTGGTTTAATTTCAGACCCTATTATGTGTACTATGATACTAGTAGATTAAGATGGGTTTGTTTAAATGAGAAGGCTATGTTTGGGTTAGAGTGCAAATAGTGCTTTGTCGTCCGAAAAGTTAGCTACTATTGTGTTTTTAAGTAGTGAGTTGGTCCGCGGAGTAGATGCTAAGGAATAGCGCAATAACTTTACTTTATGAGACACCGGCTTCTATTTTAAAAATATTTAAAAGAGTTGTTCCTGAGAGAGCAGAGAAGTGGCAGTCATTAAAATATAACCTTTTTGGGAAATTTACTGCAACTTTGGTTATGATTTAGTCATGCCGGAAAATTTGTGTTTCTGGTATTTATTTGACAAAATAAAAATGTTATCAATAAAGAACACATGGTAAATTTCATAATACGAAGTGAAGTTTTTAGTGAGTATATTATTGATCTCAAAATCTTATCTCAAAATTGCAGCTATTAATTTTATTATTATTAACTATTATATAATAATACAAATGAATAGGTATAGTTATAGGTATATAGTATAGATTAATAATACCTTAATATTTACTTATTTTTAATAAATATTATATTTTATTCAGTATAATATTGTCTTATAACTATTGTTAAATCTTTTTATTTTTGTATTCAATTTATTTAAAATATATTATTATATACGTAAAGATATATAAACAATATATTTTAATCGTGATTTATATTTATAAAAAATATTGTTTTGACATAATAGTTTATCAATGTTAAAAATATTTATGTATTTCTAGTTTTCTTTAGTTTATAAAACAGGCAATTTATAAGAATTTCAAGTCTTTTTTATGTACTTGAGTAATTCACTTGGTCATTTCACGAAATGGACAAAATATTACCATTTAATAAATTGGATAAATTATTAAAATAAACTGTGGGGTATACCGTGCATCTATAGAGTACAGAGCTATAAATAGTCTTATATTTAAAGTGATGCATTTAAATATTTATACTTTTATTTTATTAAAATACTCTTAAATTTTCTAAAAATGTTTTTTTTACTTAGTTTTATGACAAAATAATTTTCTCGGAAGTAGTTAAAATTTTTAAAATTTGTTATTACTATCACTTTTTTTAAATTTTACTTTAGAACTTTTTAACTTTTCTTTATAACAGCATATTACATTATTAACTTCATATTCCAAAGCAGAATATTTTTTAGAATACCAACGTTGATATAAATATATGAATCAAATTTTAAAAAAGTTTAGCTAATTAGTTATAAGTATTTATTGTCTTAAGGTATGAAGAATTGTAGCACAAATGTATATCGTAAAATGTTAATCCATTAAACTCATCTAAACTTTAAACACTTATAAATTATAATTAATCAAATATTCGTTAAAAACTAAACGTTTTACAAATCGATGTACTCAGAAAAATATTCTACCTTGAAATATGAGTTATTTTTTCAGATAATGTCTATTTTATCATTAAAAATATTGTTTTGCAATGAAATAAAACGGCGTAAAAATATATTTTTTCGAAATAATAAGTATAGACACTCTATCGCTCTGTATATATAAGTATACAGTAAATGCGAATTGTGTAGAAAAAGTGAAACGCGAGTGTGTATTTTTACACATATTTCGTGTGCACAAAAATGCTAATTCGGTAGGCAGTCTTATTATTATATATATTTATATACATAAATATAAAATATATGCATATTTATTTATATATGTTATTTTTTTCCCCTAGTTTCATAGTTTCACGGAGAAACCGAACGAAACTCGATTTCCTGGTCGGTTTTTTGACGACCAGTTATTATATTTCATATGCAAATACATGTTTTACGGTAGATCAAACGGAATATCCTATTTATTATATTAAATATATATATTATATCTTTACGTATGTGTGGATTATAATACACATTGCACATTCACACTCATCATTTTATAAAATAATAATACAATCCATCGCACCGCATGTGCAGTCTTGTGCTTGCAAGTATTACGTTTGTGATTAAATGCTTTGAAATAAATGCATTGTATATTTTTTTATTCAATTACAGGTGTAAAATTGGATGAGTTTGAATCATTTTATGCTCCGATATTATTATTTTATGATACCAGTCACATATTATTCGTTTAATATTAAAAAAATAAATGTAATCGTATAATAACAATAAATATTGTATAAAATACTTTAAAATAGGTTTTTTTTTCTTTTACTTGGAGTTGTATACTTTTAAATTTCTATTTACAATAAGCATACCTGATATAGGTAAATATGAGACAAGATAGTGAACTAAAATACAATAAATTAAATTAGCACATATTATAGTGGGGCGGGGACTTGATTGAAGGAACTATCCAATGATGTAACTTCATGACATTTAGGTTTTTGTAGGAATTCAGAGAACAGTGGTGAGGAAGAATATAAAAGAGGATTTTAAATTGGTTTAAATTCATCAAGAAATTTAAGAAGTGAGATTTTATTGTTGTTTATATGAGTATCTACGATTGATTTTGAAGGATTGTTAACCCTCTATTATATTTGCATACAGACGTGTGTTTTTGAGTTTTTAATGACTAGACCTTATTGATACCGTTTAGAAAGATTTAATTGATTGAGGTCAGTTATTGACATTTTTGGTTTGAGATTTTGGTGTGTTTGTTGGCCTATTATTTGTATATTTGTATACTCTTTGTAATTAGAAGGGTATGGCCTTTTGCAGAAGGAACATTTAACTTGAGCTTGGGAGGTTCGAATGCAGGAGATAGATGTATGATTTTCTCCACATTTAGCACACATGAAAACAAAAATAACTTTTATTCGTGAATACTATACGTAGAGATTTATCAAACATGCTAAATCCTGTTTGTTCCTTTTAATCATACATATATCAGTATAATAAGATAAAATAGTAGTTTCTGAATAAAATGTATATAAATACGTGATGTGTTTTTGTGAAGAAAATCAACTATTACCAATCAGACGTACATAAAATAAGTATATACTTATATTCGTGTATAGTACCTAGGTACACTAACTATACACGCATATACATTAATGTTTCGCATTAAAGAATTTTAGTTGACTGATTGTCTTTAAAATAATAAAATCTATTATTTATATTTGTGAAAAATCAAGTGATATAAAAATGTATACACTATACACATCCATATATACATATAATTATAAACACACACCGGACATTATAAAAACATTTATAACAAATAATCAACACCTAGTACCTATTATACCCTAATAATAATACTAATGAGTATTATTGACAAATATAATTCTTACATGATCTAGTTGATCTTATAATACGCGTATTTAATATTTGAATCTCACATGCCCAACATATTATCATAATATTATAATATACTAACATATGAAATATCACATAATATTTATTCATATTAATATATTATTTCTAACAAATATAATAAAAAATTAATTCCGTCTGAAAGCTTTACTGAACAATAGGTATTATTGCCATAGTTTGCAAATAATAATTACGACTTTTGGCCCTCCAAACATGATTTCGGCTATTTCCTAAATTAGAAATGCAATTTTCACAAGTTCAAAAGACATCATACTTGTATAAGATCTTTGTCAACAATTACATAGTAATTAGTAAGTAATACTAACCATAGTAAATTTCTGCTGATCTTAGCAGTGAACTTCGTTATTCTTAATATTATAGTGATTGACTCATTATAAAAACTATAAGATAACAAAATTTACTTCGTTTTGGCGGTGATGATGTTTTTTGATTCATTACCACATTTAAGAGTGATAATAACTTACTTAAAAATTATTTATTTTTCTACATTTTTTATAGACAGAATATGACACAGAGTCATAAACTTCAACATTTGTGCATACGTGATAGCACGGTCGTTTTGTATCTATATATTTTGAACAGTATAATATTTTATTTTGGTATGTGCAATAAGAGGCACGACGGAATTTAATCGAAACCGAAAGCCATAAAAAAATTCCCTTCGTGGTTCATTAAATAAATGTTAAAAAAAAAATAATAAAATAATAAAAAACATATAGATTTTTTCACGGCTCGCCCTCGCCGACTACATAATAAAATACGTGTGTGTATTTTGTTATAATATATTATATTCTTGT